CTGCGTGAGATATTGCTGTGGTAGTATAAAAAGACATGTCGATGTGCGGCGCGCGGCGCGACATCTAGTGATTTTTCGGAGTTCGAGCTTTGGTTTAGGATCCCCTTAAAGTTTTTTCGTATTTTGCATCGTTTTCGATCGATATATTAAAAATAATGAAAAATGATACTTTTTATTAATATCTCCGAAACGCGTCACTTAATTTAATAACATTTTTTAACTTATTTATATGTTATTCGAATTATCGTATGAATCAATAAAACTGCAAACATGGCTGCCTGTCATGAGACATATAGCTGTGCTAACTTTACTTCGTATTTATTAAATATGTGGAAGTCAGTTCTTTGTTAATATTATAAATGCCATTCTTTAGAAACAATCTTATGCAGGAACTGAAAGTTAAAACTGGTGATAAAGTTTTAGGGCATTTTTTGTAAATAAAATTTAATCAAATAAAATTTATAAAATGTAAATGATAAATACGATTAATATATTTAGAACACGTATAAAGCAAAAAAGTTAGTAAATACTCTGGATAAAAAATTTTTATGAAAAACTACATTGATTGAGACAAGATTTTAGAAATTCTTGGTTTTTCGTAGATATTCTTAGTGTGACATAAAGTGGTGTTGCTTGTTTAAAAAACCAAGAAATCCTCCGCCTTTTCCGTATACGCCTTCGCTGACGCCAGCCTGACGCTGCATTACGAGCTTTTATGGGACATTTTTTCGTATCTTATATCACGAGAAACAAACAACATCGCTCTACGTCCCACTACGAATATCTACAAAAAACTAAGAATTTTTAAGATAAACCTCACTCTACATTCTATTATAAATATTTACGAAAAACTAAGATTTTTTAAGATCTTATCTCAATCATGTTTTCTGTACTTTTTCGTAGAAAATTTTTTCCGTCAAAGATAACTCTAAAATTTATGCCATGAACATGGATTAGAGTATTCGTAGTTACGACACTCCAGGAGACTGAGATTTTCATACATAAAAGTTAATTTTTGAACATAAATAAACTGTCGGTTCTTTATTGGTTGCCTATGACCGTAATCACGTTACAGGTTGTCGGTTACGGTTGCTGGTTGTCGGTTTTATTTTAGCCAATCATGATGCAGCGAGTGCAGGTTAGCTGCAATATGATTGGTGAAAATAGAATCGACAACTAGCAACCGTAACTGACAATCTGTAGTGTGATTATGGCCTATAATATAGATATACTTATAATCTTCCTCGTTGAGGAAAATCAAATACAATTTAACGTATTTAAATGTAGTTAAAAACTGTAGGATGCAAAAATTCTAATTTTTAAAAAATCACCCGTATGTATTTTTTGAATATTTTCCCTGATAAATGCCACTGAAAATTCTCTTACAAATGCTACTATAACTATAGGGTAACTCCGGTATATACACGTAACAAAAACTTAATTTATTAAGTATTATTTACTATTTTTAAGGTAAACGAACTATATCAGTAAAAAGTTTGTACTGTCTACTACTATAAAAACAATATTAGAAATCAGAAATACTCATTTTTTATATTAAAAAAGAATTTTGCATTTTTGCCATATATCCCAGGGGTGGGATATGCAGCTACTTATAAGGGGAGGTGATATGTATGGCTCGTGAAAAATTTACAAATAATGTTTATAAATAAAACGTAAAATAACACAATAACTTATAAAATATGTTAACAAAGTTTTATTAAAGAATAAGAATGATAAATATGTTAATATGTATATATATATGAAGTAATATATATGAAGTAAATAATAATTACAATCTTCCTACACAATATTACAAGTATTATGAGGTGCATATTTCATGTAACGCGTTTATTGCATTTAGTGCACTGAATCCAATCTGTTTTGGGCATAAATCCCACCCGCTAAAAATGCCATATATCCCAAACAGATGGGATATACAAGAAAACAAACTAAACAAAGAATACAATAGCAAAGTACTTGTATTTTTTTATACAACATGCTTTACTATTCCTCTACACTTATGTATCATGAAATAACCACTAAGTCTTTTACACGCCCTACAGTAATCATTTTATGTAAATTATACACTACTCAATAAAATTAAAGCATCACCTATTCCACCCTGCAAAAATAGGCAAATTTCGAGATAGAATAACATCGTCAAAGATCATCGTATCGAGATTTTTAAAAAAGCATTTTAAAGCTTGAAATCTCTACTTTTGAGATCGGTACTTAAAAACCGGTCTTAATGATATTTCGTGAAGTTACATAAACATAAATGAAGACGCATCAAATCTTAAAAATTTTTACGAAATTTGCGAAGTTCCACGACGCGAATTAAAAATTGTATACAAATGCGATTTACATTATTCGAAAGAGTGAATCTTTACCTTTAATTTCTCTTTTTATGAAACTTCGTACGATTTTTTTTCGTAGAAAAAATGACTCTTTTTACTTCAATGTTGAATAACTCGATGAAAAAAATCGTATGAAGCTTCATAAAAAGAGAAATTAAAGGTAAAGATTCACTCTTTCGAATAATGTACCGCATTTTTGTGTGAATTTTACTTTACTATCTATTGAATTTGTCTGCATCAAATGTTCTCTCTTCATCATTGTTATACATTATTTTATATTCAATTAATTTATATTTTTGTTTAATTGTCTAGGAACTCAATTTAGAACATAACAAATACCAATTATTTTTACCGTCAACTATTGGTTCTGTTTCAGATTTATTCGGTCGCGGCAAATGTATCTGCAAACATGGATATTTGCAATAGCGCACATAACTTATGCCCGTAAGTATCTTTCGCGACGATGCACTCTGGGCCAGAAGACCCCAAAAACTGGCCAAAAGTGGCCAAAGGTCATTGGCAGCATTCGATTCAGAAAAGTTATTACTGTTATCCAAAGGAATAAATGTACATTTATGCAAAATTTCAGAATAATGCAATTATTAATTTTGTGTCTACATACGTTCTAATTTAGAAAGTTGACTATAATTGCCGATTAATCATTTTGACGCAAGTAGCATTCCTTGTGTAATATATATTTATTCTCCAATGTTTTGAATGTTATTTCATAATTAAAATATCCATGAAATATATGATTTCTAAATCGTAATCCGCAAGGAAGGTCGATTTGTTTTTAGAAGTACGATTTAAAGCATGCTCTTTTGCAGTAGTTTGACATTAAACTATGTATCAATCAAAAATTTTCTAAAGTTTTATTGCGGAATCCGATTTTATAAATACTATTGTACTTCTATGTTGGTTGACTTTTATATGTGCTGCCACCAGCTGCCCATTTTGATCCCAAGAAATAATAGCAGGCCAGGAGACTAGAAAAAGTGGTCAAAAGTATTAAAAGTGCTCCAATTGTTAAATTGAGTATTCAAGGGTTTTTGAGGTCGCTGATTTCGAATCTGGACTCAAAATTTAGGAATTTAAAATGGCGAATCCAAAATGGCAGAATAGAATGTTAAAAAAAATGTCAAACTTCAACGTGCGACGTATACTCCATATGGTACATATCCATGCTCTCTCACACACATAATTTTTAAATCTTTAAAATAATTTTTTTTCTTAAACGTACTTACTTAAAACTGACGTTTTTATACATCTACATATATTATTGAGTGTCAAGCAAATTAGTTTAAAAAGTAAAATTATTTTTAAAAGAATGATGTAAATTATTATAATAAACAATTTCTATAATAAATGCATAATAAAGTAATAAATACGCACACACACACACACACACACACACACACACACATATATATATATATAGATAATTTAAAATAGAGTAATTTTTATTTTTTGTAATTTCATGAAATATTATTTTTATATAATTGTTAATAATTATTGCATACAAATATGTTATAAGTCCTACTATTGTTATTAATGATTATTTAAAGAAATATAAATTATTTAAAATTGAATAATTTAATTTAAATGTATGCTAAGAATACTTATAGTAATAATTTTAATAATTTTTACTATTCCGATACACTTATGTATCACGAAATAACTACTAAGACTTTTACGCGCCCTATAGAGAGAGAGTATAACCGTTTTATGTAGATTATAATTTATGATGACGTTACTTATTACTACCATTCTAATAAGCGACCTCGAAAATTGCTTTATGCCGATTTCTACCAAAATCTTTTGACATTCGAATCCGCTTTTTGAATCCGTCATTTTCTTTTCAGTAATTTTGATATCAGATTTATAATCAACGACCTCGAAAATCACAGTATACTATCTTTCGTCAAAGTTTGACATTATTTTTAACATTCTATTCCACCATTTTGTATCCGCTATTTATAATATCTAAATTTTAAGTTCAAATTCAAAATCAGCGACCATAAAAGCCCCTAAATATCAAATTTGACAGCAATTGGAGCATTTTCAGCATTTTTGTCCGCCATTTTGAATTTCTGAATTTTGAGTTCAGATTCGAAATCAGCGACCCCAAAAAACCCTTAGATACCGAGTTTTATACCAATCCATCAACATTTTGAATTTTGACCAAGATTTCGGGTCGTCTGGTCCACTGTGCGATGGCTGATTTCCTTTTAGGAAACAGTCGACACAAACGTCACTCCAGCCTTCTTGGCATTCAATGAATAATAAAGATAACGACATTTTTTGATTATCAGTGGTTTCTATTTGCGACACAACTCAACAGTGAAGTGTCGTTTTATTTTTGTTACTTACTGAATGTTAAGAAAGATAAAATAATGCTTGTGTCGACTTGCATTACCAAAAGCACCCTGGAAAGCACCCTGTTAAAAGGAAAGCAGCCGATATTATGGAATTCATGAAGCATTCATGAAGCTCGTGGTGCCATATTTCTGTTAGAATACGTCGTCGCCAAACGCGGGCTATGCAACGGCTACAAGTCCGGCGTAGACGATCTTCAGACATTCGAGTTTATCAGCAAGCTGAAATTGGATCTGTTGGACGCGCGTTACAGTGGCATGACGAAGGTCCGAGGCAGTAATCGCATGCAGACGGCATACCGGCTGGAGAAAGGCACTGATGTCACCCTCCCGACGAAGTATTCAAATTAGCTCGCGTAGAAACAACGGCCTGGCCCGACTTGGTCCATAGACTTCAATTAACTCGGCAATTAATTCAACCGGCAGAATTATTTAAAGCAAAATGTTCAATTATTTAATGTGTTGCCTCTAATCTAAAAATTCTATTAATATCGACGAAAATATGGTAAACGTCGATTAAATCAAAGTTTGATCAAAATCATCCTTAAATCCATTTCTGTCAATATAAATTAATTACTTTGATCTCGATTAAACTTACTTGTTATCCTCTTCTAGTTCTAAGAATTAGAAAAAGATAGACAATAAATTAAACCAGACTAAAATTAATTTACGTTGGAAAAATTAATCAGTATGAGCTCTTTATGTAGAATTTACAAGAGCTTTAAAATTGTAATTTAAATATTTATCTATTTAAATGATAAATCGAATATAACATTGCAAATTTTTTCAATTAATTAATAAATAATTAATAAATAATAAAATTTTTTAGTATAGCCCTTAATAATTTTGTTTTCCTGTTAAAAAGTATCGATTAGCGAAATGCTAATCCTCCTTTTACGTTCTTTACAACCTTTTTCAGAGACATCATACCCAGCGGGCTTCCAGAGGAGTTCTCGTTGGTGTACACGCTGAGAGCTAGGAAATCACCGAAGTATCCTTGGCATGTTATTAAGATTGTGGACGTGAACGGCGACGCTCAGTTTCTCATCACAATGAATTCCAGGAAGCGAACACTGGATTTTTCATCGATCAACCACGAGGGAGAATTACAGACGATCTCTTTTGTGAATGATCGCGTGAGTGCCATCATTTGCCACATCCATCATCATTCTAGAATAGTTTGTTTGTTTCACGCGTGACAGTCCTCCATTCCTTACATAAATGCTTGTCACTAAACGGGGCACTTGAACGACGAAGGCAAAGTCGTCGTGGAGAATCGTCTGAATTAATAAATCGTCGACGTTTTTTTTTGTTTGGAAAAAGCAATATTTATATCTCTCTCTTTATTGAAACATTGTATCGCCCTAGATAGGAGGTTCGAGCACGCCCCGATTTGCGATAACACGATGTGGAACGTGTAATAACACAAAGTGGAAACAAGTCATAAATTCTGTCGAGTGGATCCTTTCTTAAAAGTATTGGCGAGAAGAGAGAGACAGAGAGGGAACCGGAGTCCGTCGTCGTTAAAACTGATTAATTATTATCTATGCATGAGTGTTTTACCCCACGGAATCATTACGTAAGCTATCGCGTGAGATGCGTGCCAAGCCGCAAAAGTAGGCGCGTGAATTGTATCGTCATGCTATTACACAGAGCAGATATAACGGATGTAAGTCACGTCGGGTCGCTTCATGCGCAAATGTCACTTCAAAGAGTCTCGGACGTTAGAAATTCTATCGCTCACGTGATAGAAAACGAGTGTCATGCTTAGGCGATCGATAATACGGCGATAAGAGAATGTCATGACGCGCTCGGAGCCTTTGATCGATGAGGATTGCAAGCGTATTTTGAAACAGCATGGATTTATGCAATAAATACGAAACTCCGAGATCTCTCAGCAATAAGCCTTACTTAGAACTCATTTGTCTCTTTCTATACATCATTATCCTGTCTAGGATAGATTAAGACTTGATTAATCGCAGCTTACGTCATTGATGGATAACAACTTGGAAAAAAATATATGATTTCTTATAAAACAGGTGTTTGACAGAGGTTGGCACAAGGTAAACTTCGGGGTGTTCAAGGATAAACTAGTCCTTAACGTCGATTGCGAATTCGTTGGTGTGGAAGATTTAAAACCACGCGGTTCGATTAAAGTCGACGGGGATCTGTCGATAGCTAAAATGAGCAATAGTAAGATTACTGTGCCGGTAAGACTCCGTTATATCAGATTTGCATGCGAAACTTAATTTTTCACGTCATATCAGATTTGCATTTGCGCTACTTTATCATTCGGTTTTATTTTTTTAATTCTTTAATTAATAATTAATTTTCAAACTTTTCGAACTATCTTTAAAAGTAGACTTATAAACATGTATGTACACCTAACATTCACGAATTGCATCGCTATTAGTATCACTGGAATGTGCTTTTCTAGAAATAAAGTTAAGTGCGACCATTACAATTAAATAACCCGCTACTTAATTAACAGCTTCATACAGAACGAGTCTGAAACATTGTATCGCCAAGTAGGACAAACTGAATTTAATATTAGAGTCTTGGCTTATATCCAGAATGCATATGCAACGTTAGAATTCCAACAAGTTGAAATATTATTATACAAAAAAAAATATAAGAAGGTATACATTTCATAAAACATTATGTACGATATTCCAAGATTATAAATGCATGTTATTATATTATTTGTATTATCTTCAGATTGACTTGCAATGGATGGTTTTAATTTGCGATCCGACAAGAGACGAGAGAGAAACGTGCAAAGAGCTACCGGTAAGATCTACATATCAGCAAGATTTAACAATTTTGCAAGGTTTGACTAGTGTAATATATACGTGACCGTAGAAAACTGTAGAAGCCGCTTTGCTTCAAATAAAACCCACCTGCAATACGATCTGTCCGCAAGGACCACCTGGATTTAATGGTTCTACTGTAAGTCCTTTCTTTGTTTTACATATTTATTAAATATTTATATCATAAGCTAATTTTCAGCTGATTTTCAGACCAATAAAATTTTGATTATTTATGAAATTAATCATAATTACTAAGCTGAATTGTACATCTTTTTTAATTATTAAATTTCTTCAGACTCTGACGAAATAAGTCAATGTTGAATCATGCCAATATGAGAGCCGATACATCATTTTTATTTATTAAATGTTGCGACAATTAAAATTCCATGAATTTTTTGTTTCCTTAATAATTTCCAAGGTTGATTAAGAAAATTATATCAGGGATTTCCCGGTTCACCTGGACCACCCGGAGCACCGGGGCCAATTGGTACGTCAGGTTCAACTGGATTTCCAGGGCAACCGGGGCTGCCGGGTGAACAAGGAAGGATAGTATGTTTTCCTTATTTATTTTAAAAATTATAATATAATAATATATATAAGTTCATTTTATATATAACTAAAATCATTCATTATAAAATTATTACTAAAATCATTATATAATTATGAAAATCATTCATCATAAAAATTCTTAACTCAGAGGTGAATCCACGATGGTGGCCATGGAGATCATGACTTCTTTCTTAAAAATGTTTATAGCAAAATGTTATATATATTTTTTAAATATTTTTGAAATGTTTAATCACGATTTTGATATTCCAAAAATATTTTTTAATTTAGGAAACTCCTAGATTTTTACGGCTTAAGGCTTACTGCTCTATTGTAGACGTCGCGTTATGCAAAAGTTTATACTGCGGCTTTTATTTTCCGCCCGTCGTGTCGCAAGCGAAAAAAATTTTCACACTCGTAAATTAAAAAATAAGAACGAAAAGGTATGGAAACTGTTGAAATTTTCCTTTTTCTTGTGTTTTTGGTTGTTGGCATATGGAGAAACTTGGTAATTCAAAATATAAATCCGCCAATGGCCTCCACACTGAGAGAAAAAAGTGGTTAGAATAACCATAATTTAATTATAATTCATAGTCATTTTTTGGGACAATCATAAATTTAGAATTATTTTAACCATGTAAATAGTAATCTGAACATTGAATTATGATCATAACGATCATACTATTATATGTATTCATTCAACTAATTGCATGTTATCTTACATATAAATCATATTTGCACACACACATATAGTAAATTATACTATAAAATGTTGTAACTATACTTATAAAATTATTGTTACTAACATTATAGCAATAATAAATAACTATGAAAGTGATGCTCCTGACCATAATTATTTTACCATGCAATTATAATAACAAATACGATATACTTTTCTCTCAGTGCACGTTAAAAAGTTTTTGGATATGTCCCTATCGTAACTAAACTCATTTTTTACTTTTACAAAACGTAGGCACTAAGAATACAAGGGAAGGAATATAAGAAATGTATCTTATCAGGGAGCTCCAGGTAACATTGGCGCTAGAGGTTTTCCAGGATTGCAAGGTTCTAAAGGATCAATAGGACCCGCAGGACCATCGGGCTTACCAGGATCACCAGGCCGAAAGGGTGAAAGAGTAAGTACTAATGCTTCTAAATTGAATACGATAACGCGGGAAAATTTATTTATAACAAAAAAATAAATCCTCTAATAGGGCGATATGGGATTTCCGGGTCTGAAAGGAGATCAAGGTCCTCGAGGGTTTCCGGGTCCGCCAGGGAATGCGGGTGATTTTTTACATGGATCGCCAGAATACAAGGACGAAAAAGGAACCAAAGGTGACCGAGGAGACAATGGCATTCAAGGACAGCCGGGTGAAAAAGGTACAATATTATTTCTTAGAAAGGAAACATCAGATAAGTCACTTAATTAAGATAGATTAAATCCACTCATGAAACACTGACGATGTAATTCGATCTCGGCAGAAATCGCGTCGAGATGTATAATTGGGTTATTCTGTGTCGGCGATAAAGTGAGAGAATACTACGGAATGGGTGCTCGATTAATGCACTTGTTGTCACTGCAACGTCTAAATCAATTTACCGTCTAGATCTCGATCATGTCAACGAATATAATATCTTTACGTAATATATGTTTTCTAGTTTTAATCATGAATAATTTTTTAATAGAAACGTGAATAATACATATGTTAATCTAAAAATTGTTCGATCCATTTATCATAGATTTATCATAACGAGATGAGACAGTAATTTACCTTGATATTAATCTGTTAGTTCAAATGTTCGACTCAATTGTATCTCGTGTTTAGTCTTTTTATTAACACTACACATTATAAAAAAGTCATGATTCAAATAACGACTATTAAACGATTCAGACGACGCGCGACGCATGATATTCCACGTATCGTTGACCCAGATGTGTTCATTCGCAGTCATTGTAAATCAATTTATCGCAATCTGTGCTAATATTCGCTTATTTATATAAATAATTCAAAATTATTCGCTTACAAGTACCCTAAAAATCAAAATTAATTGCGCAATAAAGAAAAGGAATTTTATTAAAAGTATTTATTATTAAATATTTAGGTAACTGACTCAGAAGAAGAATGAAATTACTAACAAAAAAACACAATTACCAAGGAAAGGAACGAATGTGTTCAGACCCGTTCTTGTTCTACAAGGCGCTCTTGTGCGAAAGTTATTTTGAAAAAAAGTATCAAATTAAATTTGATAAAAGTAAGTTTTAGCAAAAATTGGAGCAAAGCATAAATCAAATGTAAGGGGAAAGTGACAGAACATAAACGAAGCTTGTATAAGATATAAATAGGAACAACGAAACGTGAAAAAGCATTTATCTCTTAAAACACTTCTTTTACATTCTGCTGTATCTTTACACTTTCTAGAATTTTTGTTTATCTCTGTCACTCTTACATTTGACTTACGTGTTCGATTTTACGTATTTCTGATTTTTATTTTTGTCAGGGCAATTGATGTTAGTACTAGTGAATTAATTTTGAAAATGGCATCTTCTTTGGCGCCCCTCTTGTTTGCGCCGTTGTGCGGTGCATAACTTGCAAATCCGTATAGAGCAGACCTGGATATGATTTGATCTCTTCGAATTTGACGAGCTTTTATGTTATTTTGCACACGAAAACAAAGAACACGTATTTTTTATATGTGCCTGTACGCACTTTTAAGAGATGAAACACCTCTTAGAAAAAACAATCAGTTTTTTTCTTTCAATTAAAGCAAATATCGTCGAAATTATAAGAGATAAAAAAATGTTCTCAATGAAAGTTGAATGGTTTCAAGAGTACTTTTTCTATTAAATTAGCTTAAGCTCGGCGATGCATGTAAATGTATACACCCTGCCTGCACTATACGTAACAGAAACGTGCTATTTTAGTTGCAAAGTCGCAGAAAATATGTATCGTCTCTTGCACATCGCAACGATGCGCATAGACATGCTATTTTGGTGGCAAAATCGCAGAAAATATGTAACGTTTTTTGCACGTCGCATAGACGTGCATAGAGAATATAATGTATAGTTAGCAAAATTGATTCTCGAAGAATCTATGGCGGTGTTTAGCGCGGATAAATATAGGAGTCAGATTGGATTGAGTGTACAAACGACAGTGTACAATTAAAAAGTAAGTAATTGTTTTTTATTCTTTTATAATTATAATTTTTGTGTATAGTTTCTCTACGCATAATATTCTCTTTTTCCGCTATTTTCAAACTGAATAATACTAATCGATAGAAAATTTGTTGAAAATCCTAACTCTATTTGCTACATTAATGGTTTTTAATATTTCGACATCAAAAGACTTCATATATCACATGATCATAGATGAAGCCTATTGGATAAAATATCAGGTTAAGTCTAACTATAAGTTAACTTAACCAGATAATGAAAAACGATAATGAAAAACCGAGTCTTAGGTCGCAAATAGGTGCTCAACACGTTGCATAAAGTCACAAATGTTCGTCACTGCGACGTTGCTGTCACAAAAAATTTGACTGTTAGTCACGTGTTAACAACGTGTCTATTACGTTTCGAGAAGTCGCTGCGACGTAACGTGTGACGAGTTGGTACGTCATAGAGACGTGTTTGTCACGTATTGTGCAGGCAGGGTATTTATCCGCGCTAAATACCGCCATAGATTTTTCAAGAATCAATTTTATCAACTATACATTGGCTACGTTCGTTAACATTAAAAGTTAAACAAGGATAGATGATGAATCCGGTATGATGAATACATTGGAGACATCCGAGCGACGTTCCCGAACGCAGCCATAATATTCTCTATGCAAGTCTATGCGACGTGCAAAAAACGTTACATATTTTCTGCGATTTTGCCACCAAAATAGCATGTCTATGCATGTCGTTGCGACGTGCAAGAGACGTTACATATTTTCTGCGACCAAAATAGCACGTTTCTGTTACGTATAGTACAGGCAGGGACATAAATTTGCGTATAATAATTAAGTTTTAATTAGACGGCTAAGTCCAATTTTAAGAACTCCACGTTATTTCTTTGTACAAACTACTAATCTGTGAACTACTATTTTGTAAATACAGATCGCACAACTTTTATATAAAGCAAACGTCACTGGTTGTCACGACGTGACTGGACGTGTCAGCTGTGGAGCGCCATATTGGATTAAGAAATGATAAAGATATCAATTTCGAAACTTTTTTTATCGTTCTCATCCTATATAAACTCCACCTCACAGACACGTATTAATGTGTATACTTTAATCCTGGAAAAGGATTTTCGAATCGATCAATAAAAGAGGAAAAAAGTAATTGTTATACAAAAATTATATAGTTTAGTCGGTAATACAGATGACTTTAGGATTAACAAAAAATTTGAAAGTTTTAATTAAAAAACTTAAACTTTTTGTTTCTATAAAAATTAAAAAATATTTTGAAATAAAAAGTAGAGGTAGAAGTGACTAAAAAATATGATATTTTTTAAAATTAAAATGCATTGTACGTTGCAAAGTGTACCTAAAATTTTTTAAATACATATTTAAAACAGTTTTTTATTTTTGACACTTCGTGCTACCTAGAGAAATATCATATAAAAATGTATCATTATAAAATTTAACAACTTTAGGCGAACCTGGAGACAGAGGATATCCGGGATTAGATGGATCCCGCGGTCGTGACGGTGCGTCGGGTCTTCCTGGTCTTCCAGGACCTCCTGGTCTTCCGGGACCTCCTGGATCGAAAGGCAACACTGCATATACGAACACGTCCAGTATTCCGGGACCACAAGGTCCTCGTGGTATAATAGGACCTCCAGGACCATCAGGCTCATCAGGACTGCCAGGATTGCCAGGACCGCCAGGTCAAATGGGTCCAAAGGGCGATATTGGGGAACGTGGTCGAGATGGTTTGTAATCTGTTAATTAAGAATTAAACAAATATACTAATGATAATTCTTTTTACGCTTATAATGAAATATTTATTATCCTTTAAGGCACACCGGGATTGACGGATAATAACGTCATATCAGGATTACCTGGTCCCGAAGGACCTATTGGGCCTCCTGGTGATGATGGTCTTCCAGGTGAAAAAGGAGAAATTGGATCAATAGGTCCTTCAGGACCATCTGGAAATCCAGGAAAGGATGGATATCCAGGATTATCAGGACTACAGGTATTTTATTACTTCAGATTTATATATATTTATATTATTATTAGTTAAAATAATGTACTTTTCATAATATTCATTGTTGCACGCAATAAGGGACTTCCAGGGCCACACGGAGAACCGGGGTCTCCAGGACCTCGAGGTTTAGATGGGCTCGCAGGAAAACCAGGGCCGCCAGGATTCGATGGAAAATCAGGTCAAAAAGGTAACAAAGGACAGAAAGGTGAACAAGGTCTGGCCGGACCTCGTGGGTTACCAGGGAATTCGGTAAGAGGATGAATGAAATAGATATTACAACATTGAACAGCTTGTCAATTTTATGTTTCGAATAATGAACATGTAATTAACCCATGTAATTTCAGAACAATAAATATCATATCGATTAATTTATACATTTAGGGCTCAATGGGTTCACCAGGAGCACCAGGTGTACCAGGATTAGAAGGAAGACCCGGTCTACCCGGCTCTTCGGGACCAATAGGACCATCAGGACCTCCAGGCCCTCCCGGTCTTTCAGCTGCGAATAGCAGTTTTGGTAACATTGGTAGTCCCGGTCTCGAGGGACCTAGAGGTCCACCAGGTCCTCCAGGCGTAGTAAGCATCTTTGATAGAAAGAAAAACCAAAAAATTGATCAAATTACATATAAATTATATAAATTAAATTATATAAATTAAAATTATATAAATAAATAAATCTTAAAGTAAACGATCCAAATAAACGATTAAGCCAGGTGAAAGGGGAGTTCCTGGAGAACGAGGATTAGAAGGTCAGATAGGACCATCTGGAATACCTGGTAAGGACGGAGCGCCTGGATTGCAAGGTCTCCCCGGGAACAGAGGTCAAACGGGGTTACCTGGACTTCAAGGTCTGCCGGGACGTAGTATAAGCGAAGCGGAAATTCGCGATATTTGCGCTACTGTTCTGAGAGGTGATTTTTATTGTAGACTATTTCTAAACATAAAAGCTCGTTGAGATTTAAGTGATCCTTCACTTATCGACTTTCTTCGTTTTTGTTGTGAAGATAGTAATTAAACTAGTTAAGTCATTTAAATTCGGTTAACTTTGATCAAAGTTTTTGACAGCAGCTGTATTTTATTATTTTAATAAGAAACCGTGCATGAATGGGCAACGCGCAATATCGTCAGGAATATGTTCCGAATTGTGATATGGCCTTTTTTCTTATTATCACCTATATACATACAGAAAAGATGACCGAAATGGCAGCGTTAATGCAAGGCCTACCTGGCCCACCCGGTCGAGGCCGTCCGGGTCGTCCTGGATCCCCTGGACCTCAAGGTCGCCCAGGTACATCCTCCGAGTCCTCAAAATCATCAATCCATCGCGCTTTTTTCTTGTGCTCGGTACGACAAATTAATCGCATTCGAAATCATCTGCTACTACGTTTTTTTCTTATTAGTTTATAGAAGAATCTTGGACATATAGAATGGAACCCCTAACTCAAGAGAAGATATTTGGCAAGCAACAACAGAGTGTAGTAACATCGCCATTTAAACGCTTCAAGTATCATCGGCATCGCCTTTCGCGTCCCTAGAGTTATAGCATAACGAATGACGAATGATTCATCACGATACACATTTAAGTGGCATTTAACGATATAGGTTCGGGATATCAATGTCCTGGATTCATCGCGGTTACGCCCATAACAATAATGATATATTGGCATGTGTCACAGAGAGACTGAAAGAACTAACAGAGGGTCTACGAGGGCTACCCGGATTACCGGGACCGGCTCATCGGAACGTAGCAACTCTCTGAAATGTCTGGGAAATGGCCTGTTTGGACTAATGGACGCTTTTGTCGTGCGCATGCGATAATTAGATTAGTTGAGTAACTGCGTTAGCTTCTCATCATCGGACGTAACGCTTTTTTAATGTATTAAAGCGGATATATCTTTTTTTAATTCAAGCACATGCTTTATGTACCATCATTATTAAAAAAAAGTTCGTTCTCTATATTTGATTATATATTTTCAGTTTTTTATAATATATTTGTTCTTCTCTCTTCAAGTAATAATGGAAATCTTATCAAACTGTTAAAAAAAAAATAAATGGAAATGAAAATTAATGCATGGTGCATCTAAATTTTATCAATATATTTTTCGCTGTTTGCACGATTGCGATATTTTTTGGTTAATTAATTGTATTTTCGTTTAGGCGATCCAGGCCCACCAGGTTTGCCGGGAGATCGTGGATTCGTCGGTTTACCTGGTTCGCAGGGTCCTATTGGTCCACAGGGGCCACCTGGCGAACGTGGGGAAAAGGGGGACAGAGGTCCCGAGGGAATCGGCTTAGAAGGACCGCCTGGTCTAACAGGTTTACCAGGTTAAATTACATTACATTAATAAAAAATTATTTGCCTACAATTAGTAATAAAATATTAGTATAGTTAGCAATAAAAATTATATAGACTTTGGAACAATAATACGGTAACCGTATACTGTGTTTTACGACAGGGCCTCCTGGTAATGACGGCGTCGGTTTGCCCGGAAGGCAGGGAGACAGAGGTGAACCAGGCAGACCAGGTAAAGAAGATTAGCAATACAAATAAGCAAAGAAGGCCATATTCGAACAAAGTGGGTCTTGACCTTCTAAATTTAACATTTTTGAGCGAATCTTACAATTTCCAATTCAAGCAAAAATGTTATTAGACATTTTGATCGAATGTGTTTTTCTTCGCTTATTTGTATGGAATATTTTCAATCGATTTTCACTTACTATTAAAAGAATTATAAGTAAGAGATACTCTTTTCAAAATAATTTATATATAGAATATAACTAACAATAAGACATCTCTACGATATTATACATATTTCGGCATTGTAATATTTGTAATCACTTTGTATACAAGACGTTATTTCAATTCTACATATATGTTAAGGTGTTTCTGGCGCGAGAGGACCACCAGGAGCGCAAGGACCACCCGGATATTGCGAATTCTGCAATTATCCTAGTAGCAATTACTTGCACAATCGTGGCAACGAGAAAGGTCCTTAAACAGTTGTAAAAACTAACTTCTACATATATAGCGGAAGGAGTACTGAGGAAAGATTATTTTTAAAAATCGTTATTCGAGATATTTTTTAACATGAGTGTCTTTATAATTCAGCACTCAATGCCGAATTAACAATGCCTGTAAACCCCTTACAAAGCACTGTCATGCAAAAGCTAGCATTTCTAAGTTACAATTTAGTTATTTCGTATAAAATGTATTATTTAATTAATAAAGCTTGCTTTTCGATATGACAGCTTTCCGATACGTTATTAAACCATTACCTTTCTCTCGTTTAATTTTTAATAGCTTCTTCTTTTTCATTGGCTCACGTCTTCTCCAACGAAGGTAAACTTAGTAACAGAAAGATTTTTTCAATCTTCCAAAAGATGGTCGCAAAAAAAAAACAGAAATGCGAAATCAAAAACAAATTGCAAAGACAAGATACAAGTGTGGGAAACATTCGGCCAGTTTCATGAGAAATATTTAAAAAATTTATAAAAATGATGTAAAACACTTGAGCCAAAGCTAAAACACGCCCGTTCCAGTCAAGTCGTCAATTCAAACTAATTTCTAATAGTGAATTAGAACGTACTCAATGTCTGGTACGACATGCACTGCATATTAAAGATGTGCACAAATTGACATATAAAGATGTCAAGATATGTGCCCAATATAAATATAGAAACGAATTAAACCGCGAAATCCTTAATACATTTTGAATGCTTTCTAGCAAGAGACTACAAGAATATCCTTAATTAAGGTTTAGTATATAGTTATGAAACTGATCAATCATAGTTATTACTCTGAAGAATGGAATGACTGTGATTAGTTTCTAACTACGGATGTTATTAAACCCGACTAATGCCCATTTCCACCAATGTAGATTAACTTTAATCTCGGTTCAACTTACTCTTCATCTTTTTCTATTCTTTAGAACTAGAAAAAGACAAAGAGTAAGGTCGGAATCAGACTACGCATTGAAGATTGAGATTGAAGATTGAAAGATTAAAATTTGACCAATCAAAACAATAGGAGCTAAAATTCCTTTGTTTTTATTGGTCAAATTTCAATCTTCAATCTTCAATCTCAATCTTCAATGCGTAGTCTAATTCCGGCCTAAGTTGAACCGAGATTAAAGTTAATCTGTGTTGGTGGAAAATGTCCTAAGGGCCTCTTTCACCAACTTCTGGTTAAATTAATCGACGATTAACTCGCAGAAGTGCCAACAGCAGTTTAAGGTGCCATAACGTCTCCTCTCTCTCTTCCTCTTCTGTGTTTAGTTTTCACGTTGGCAATCGTGGTGATTGAGTTAATCATCGATTAGCGTTAATCGGTGTTGGTGAAAGAGGCTCTAAGGGTGTCCGTAAAAGCATAGTCACAGATGACATAGGACATAGGCGCGTTTCTATGATGTGGTTTAATTTTAATCTCGGTTTAACAAACTCTTTACCTTTTGCTAGTTCTAAGGCCCAGTTTCACAACTCACGATTAACTCTTAATTAAGATTCAACTTGTTTCTTATTTCTTCCATTTCTAGAATTGGAAAAAGAGATAATGAATAGGTTGAATCTCGGGCAAGAGTTAACCGTGAGTGATAAAACTGGGTCTAAAAATGAGAGAAAGGTGAAGAATAAATTGAATCAAGATTAAAGTTAATCTACATTGGTAGAAATGGGCAATAGTGGGTGATTTGATGATTTCCACTTGGTAACACAAGTCGAAGTGTAGTCGTTCTATCTTTGTTACTTATTAAATGCCAAGGCCGTGTTCCGAAATACACTGCCAATATTGAAAACTCTTTGCTAAAAGTCTATAGTGCGCGTTATGTATACTACAGATTTTCAGTACTTTGCAACGAATATAGGTATATACAAGGGCGCGTTCGAAAACACGTGTGTGTCAGTACCCTTTTTACCCTTGTTTAACATTCCGTGGATAACAAGAATGAAGTCGTAAACTATAGATTTTTAGTACTTCCACTGAACAATGGAACGCAGCCAAAGTCAACGCGACGCCCATGGATGATCTCCCGGATTAATTTCGAATCCGTCGCGCGCGTCGCCGCGGTCCGATTTCCCCGTTCTCTCCCGTTCAGCCGTTCAGGTCGGCGATCAGGCGCCACCGGCGGAGAAGATCAGCGACGGCCAGTGATGGCTGCGACGGGCGTCGGATCGGGATTTGTGCGGTGGGCTTGTTTACCGTGACGTCGTCCCGGCCTCCGGGCAGAATCCGCGTTCCGTTCCGTATGTATTACCGTGATCCATAACTCGCACGCTCGACGATCACCGCGGTTCTACCTCGTGTGCACGCCAAGCATATCGACCGCCGCGAAGCGAGACGGACGTTCACACGTTTTGTTAAAACCGCTCCCGTGAACGGTCGTCCGGCGAGGGCAGTCGCTCTTGGACGTCGACGACCGCCGTCTCACCCGTGCTTCTGATCTGTCCTCCGCGATTTAATGACGAGGCGATAAAAGCAGAGGCGAGAGAGGCCTTCCACGGGTACGGCGTCGACGACTCCACGCCCCCGTCGGTATCCTTTTTTTCTCGCCGAAGACACGCGCGCAGAGAGCGCCTCAGGTAAGTTGGCAGGCAGGCAGGTAGATAGATAGGTAAACCGACCGGTAGAACAGGTTAGGTGCCTGCAGAAGCTGTCGTCAGAAACGTTCTTTTCATTTTCAGTCTCTCTCTCTCTCTCTCTCTCTCTAATTTCTCGTGATTATTCCTCTCAAATATATTTATACTTAAAAAAAATTTTTTTTTAGGTATTTCTTTTCGAATACGAGAAAAAAAGCGTAAAATGAAACGATTTAATTCATCATAATCCGACCTAGGATAATCAATTACTTAATTTGATTGCTATAATAAATGAGAATGAAATATTAAAATATTTTATAAATTCATAAGACTGACCTTGTATTTTATAAATTGATAAGATTGACTTCATGATGAACTAAAATTATCGTCTACTGGAGACAGATTCTACTTAATGTTCCGAATACCAATTGCTTCAAATATTGATATCTATAATTGTTTTTGATTAGAGTCCCTATATTAGAATCTGACCACGAGCGAGTTTGTTAAAATTCTATGAGAGAGAAAGGTGTATATAATATCTTCCTGTATACATATATATATATATATATATACTGTCTCACTCTATATCTTTTAATTAAAGTTATAAATTTATCTCACTTTAGCTTCAATTTCTATTAAATTGTTAAAGTTATAGAGTGAAGCAGTATAAGTTAAAATGAGGTAGTGTATATATAGGAAGAAATTATTGCCCATATTCATAGTCAGGCTTTATACTTTATATGTATTTAAGGCTTCCTTAAATTGATCTTCAGATGCTCTAAGAATTATTTTATTGACTACAGAGCATCTAAAGATAAACTTGCTTTAAATATAAGATCTGATTATGAATATGAGCATATCATTCTCATAGAATTTTAATAAAACCGTTCATGGCCTGTTATAAAGTCTTTACTGTTAATTATAATATGATTCGATAAAGAGCCAAATTCTGCGTTCGAAATAAAACGTCAATATTTTGTCGTCTGTTTATTTCGAGCTCTTGCAGCAAATCCGTACGCTCTCGTATTCTCTCGATCGTGAATTCGGAACGAGACCGCGTTAAGTGACAGCTTGATACAGTTGATACTGATAGGTGCTGAATTATTGATAGGTAACTGCGGTGACATCATTTATTGACGTGCCATCCGTCTTTGAGATTGATCGGGGAAATAAAGCGTGTATCTGATCGACTATAGAATATAAAATACAATTAAAAAGAAATAGATTGTCATTGTTGGCGCCGGACGCGACGAAGCGAGAAACGGTAGGATATCATGGTGCTCGTTAATAACGTCTCGTGTGTCGTCATTGATTCTATGCTGAATTTTAATTAACTCGAACCGCGCGCTTGCGTTAATTAAAAAATATTTTTATACTCCATAGGTAGATACATAAAGCGTTTATTAATCTTCTAGAACAAACCTTTTAAGAACGTATAAAAAAAGAAATAAAAGCAGCAATAAATACAAAGAAAATATAAAAGAAACAAAACATAGCGCAATTAATCGAAAGGAGGATCATCCTGTTATTTTAAAGGCGGTCAAACTTCTATTAATTTATTCAGCATATTTGTTTATTTGCTTGCTTAATAATAATAACTTTATATGCAATAAAGGACAATCCTCTTCTCAATTAATTGCACTGTGTTTTGTATCTTTTCTTTCTTTATATATTATTTTTATTTTCTTTCTAATAATGTTATATTCAATAAAATTATTATTATTACTAATCAGCAATTTAACTTGTTCAGTAATAATATTTTGTTCTAACTATTTTGCGACGGTAGAATTATAACTTTCCGTTAATTGCACGTCGGAAGAGATATAAAAGATCAGAAGAGGACAACAATTAACATGGTTGAAAATGTCGCTTCGAGCTATACTGCCGATCAAGTTAATTAAGATTAATTGGAGTTTAATCGCTCAAAAGTCGTCCCGAAGAAAATCTCAGAAGAGGTCTCTCCCAGGTCGCGCGCAAGCGCGTAGTTTACAACATTCCCCGCTCAAACGTATCGGAGCTTGTTGCTTTCGCTTATTGCCACGCGTTATGTTATATGTATATTTTCCAGTAACATAGTAAATAAAATAAATCAAGTAAAAAATAATTGGCTATCTCTAGACAAACTATAAAGTTCAATTCAATTCGGAATCGAATAAGTAAATGTATGTATATATATATACAATATGTTAGAAATTTATACAGAGAGAGAGAAAAAATGTAGCAGGAATGCAGACCTTTTGTAGTACAAGCAATATCGGTCTCCGAAGCTCGATAAAAAGCTTTGCTAAACCGTACGTGGCGAATGCGAGTCATATGGGAATGTATAAAAGCGCATCACGTACCGTCGTAGATGCCAAAACGTTCGCGTCGTTTTTGATTCTCATCGGCGCAACTCTGATCTTCGCTCTCGTACTGAAGAGATTTTCTCAACGCGCTGAAGTTAGCCGCGCCTCCCGGTCGCTCCGTTTCGCGCGTTCCTTCAAACGCGCCCGCGGCCGCCCGGCGTTCCTTTCCCGGTCGTTCCCCCGTTTCTTCGGCCGATCTTACGTTCCCCCCACCTGGCCCACTTATCGTATTGATTCAAACTTAGGCATC